GTGTGTGTGTGTGTGTGTGTGTGTGTGTGTGTGTGGAGAGCAAGCTCGCAAGTGTTATTGGCAATGGCAATGACTAGCTTCGCGTAAAAGTAGTGAAAGAAGAAATTCGTTGGCATTTCTTTCTTTTACATTTATCTTTCTCTTTCACCCTATCGCTATTCACGTTCCATTGTTGATTCGGTGATCGTTCCAGGTGAAATATAAACCAAAGCATTGAAGACGACCGGAATTCAATGTGGTACACATTGTATCACAAAACATCGATCGAACAACACTTAAATTTTTACCGCGCGCGCATTTTTCTCAGTGTTAAACGAGCCCAAAAAACATATTCGGTTTTCCTTGTGAACTTTTTTTTTCACTCAACAAATTTCGATAAATAAATCTGTTGGTTTCAATTTGTACGATTATCGTTCGAGCGATATCGCGTTTAAATTTAAGTCATTTTCAAGTAGAATTCCACTTTTATTTTTGAGGTAAGAATTAAAAAGCAAAAAGAAAAAATCAACGAAGAAAAAAAGAAAACGATTTTCTTCCAGAAAAAGAAACGAATCATTTTTTCCTTCATTAAAATAAATTAATTGAATGGTTAAAGAAATTAGGCAAAGTGTTTGTAAGTGCTGAATGGAATCAGAAGTTTTTGAATTGAAAATCAAGAGTGCTAATCGATGTTGCAACTCGGAAAAATGGATCAATCGATGGAAACTGTGCTGTTTTTTTTTGTTTTGTGTGCTTCACATTTTTGTTTGGATTTTCAACAATTAGTTCAACATTTTATTTTCGTTTCATTTTCGATTTGGCGTGTAAAATTCATTTGCAGTTGCCGAATGTATGAATAGGCGCACGCTCGTGCACAAGCACTCTCGAAAACTAATCGAAAATACGAAAAAAGAAAGTTTTTTTATTGTTTTATTCTTTGCTCCACTAAAGAAAAAGTAACGTCCAGTTGCGAATGGATGATGATCATTTGTTAAGGCGACGATAATTCAATTGCCAACGATCACCTGCCCTAATTGCAACCATCGTCCATTGTGAATGGTTACGCACAAACATAACACACCTCAAACACTCGCCAAATAAAGCGGACACACGTATTTAGCAAAAATGGACGGGAGAGAGAGAGAATAAATGAATTTTGTGTGCAGAAAGTTCTACGTGTTGGATTTAATTTCAATGAGCCAACGTAAATATGATATGTTGTGTTTGTTTTATTTTTTTTTTCATACGCGAACGCGATAAATCCGCTATTCACAACTAAAAAGAAAATCATTTCGCAAGTGTTGTATCGCAGAATCGATATCGACCGAAGCTTCGAATTAGTTCAGCCCGTTGGCAAAACCGTTTCTGAAGAGAAGAACGCAAACAAACAACAAATCGATACAACGCACGTATTAACGTAAATAAAATGAGCAATGAAATGAAAGAAAAAAAATCCAATGAAGAAAGAAAGAAATATAAAACACGTTGCAATCACCCAATTTATCTGAAGCGCATAGAGCTAACGCGTAAGCATAACGTTCCATCGCTAACACATATGATTATGAATATTTATACTTGGATTGAAATCCATCTGACCTACTTTGGTTCGGTGCTGCTATGCCGAGGTGCGCGCTGCCAAGTAGATGATGGCAGAAAGAAAATTGGAGAAGCAGAAGACGGCGATGAAAAAAATAGCTACTCGGCTACCAAAGCAAACGGAATAAAATAATATCTTTAATCCAAAACGTTGATAGAAGCTACATCGGCGGCAGCAGCAGCAGCAGCAACAGTAACACAGCGAAGCTGGTGAATGATAGAAGTAAATGAAAAAAGAAAGAAAAAGAAAAGAAAAACTTGTAATCTTTTAACTGTTTGTTAATAACACAAACAAATCGTGTGTAAGTGAGTATATACAAAACGTAAAAAAAGAACACATCGCTCGGGCGCACGTCACCGATCTCTGCCTGTGTATATTGAATGCATGTGCAGAGAGCATGGCTCCAACGATGAACGCGAACGCTCAAAATTCTCTTTTGCTCTCGCGCTCTCTCTCTCTCACTCTTCTCGCCTGCACTCTCGCTCCACACACAGAGTTTAAACAAACGACGCATTTACATGTTCACTTTGGCTCCACACACCACACAACCGACGAATAGAAATAACAGAGCTCATCCGAAATGTATCTGTTTTGCATGTTCAAGAGAAATGGTAAATGAAGCGTGTGTGGTTTTGGTACTTTCGCTTTTGCGTTTGAACGGCACACTTACCATTTTTCTCTCTGTCTCTATCTCTATCTTGAGCGTGCTCGCGCCATTGCAAGCACAATAGTTGGCGGTCGTCGGTATGCGCCTGTGTATTCATCTCATTTTTGTGATGTGTGACGCGCTATTTGGAGTACGCTCAGATTCTATCCGTTGGATAAAAGCGCGCAGAGGTGTTAATACCGAAAGAAAAACAGAAATTACTGCACTTACAGATTAGCATATATGCCAATTGAGTGTGTGTGCCGACGTCAAGCCAATCCTAGTTATAATTTCTTCGTCGTTGTCGTTGTTGTCTTTGGTTTTCTTATTCAAACACACTCCGTGGTAAATTGTAAGGTAAACACGTCGAAAGCGGAATTAAATTTACTTACTGGATGATTCTATCGTTGCCACTTGAACTGTTTACCACACAAACACATACTCTCTCTCTCTCTCTCTCTCCCTCTCTCTCTCTCTCACTCTCTGAACCGTGCAATGTGCGGTGTTGATTTTCATTGCTTTGGCTCGAAAATTCCGACACGTACCTTACAACTGTCGCCACGAATGTGTTTTCGTTCAATTCGCCACTTCATCAAACGAACCAACAACGAAACTAAAACGCAACAGCCAACCGGATATCAAATTAAACATGAAATTTCGTTCCATTGCATTGCGTCTCTTCTTTTTTGTAGCATCAACTATTTCTAGTAACCCAGTTTCAGTTCTTTCGGTTCAGCTTTATCGCACAGCTGCACGCGTGGCTCCAAGATTTTCTATTACGTCGACGGATTTTTCTTCTACTTCTTCTTCTAAAGAGTTGCTGGTCATCACCTGATTCACATTAGACAAACCTGATTTTGTGTACCCATGTGTAGGGAAATCGATCGAAAATTACGTATGCACCTTATCTAAGATCTGTAGGTCGTTTGGAAATGTGGGACACAACGCTGTTTTAAATTCTTTCCCCAGAAGAAAAAAATTAATTGAGAAAAAAACTTTGCTCTCACAGATCCAAATTAAATGTATTCACATTGATATCGAAACAGCATCATCTTATTTGATATTTATACGCACCTCTTTTGTCGTTTCCGACCGAGTGATGATAAGTAAACGGCTCTTCAACTAGTCGATTGGAATGGAAAGTGGTTACGGATGAAAGTTGCCATCAAAGAGTCAAAATTAGACGTTCGTTTGCTTTGCATTTGAATTCTAGTGATCTGAGTTGATCTTGTCGTGTGTGTGATTTTTTTCTCTTCTTTCGGCCGATGCTGATGATGCTGCTCACCTCTCTCGTGCCGCATTTACATATCGAATGATTGTTTCAGTGGAATTTTTGCTGATGTGTTTTCTTTTCACCGTATGCGCTCGCGCGCTCGCATCCATTTTTCATTATTCCGGTCCATGATCAGCGGCCACATCGCAAACAGCCAACCGACCAATCGTAAAATTTCTAAGCCCATTATTTATGCGTTTTTATTTTCCTGATTTGAATTCAAATACACAAACCGTTCAATACTTTATCACAAAAATCGAATGCGCACCAAATGAAAAAAAATACACATTTTTATTTCGATCGCGCTATGTCGCGCTAGCGCTTTTTTCGTTTCTGTTTCTATTTGCATTGGACATGATTGTATATTTCTTCGCTTGAATTTGTTTTGTAGATTTGGAACCGCATTCTATCCGTTGACATATACAAAATGAAATTAACATTTTTGATTGAATTGCTGTTGATTCTGGTGATCATCGCGTTTGCGGCATCGAAACCAGTCGATTCGAATAACGGTAATTATATCAATTTAGAGTTGTTTTTTCATTCGAAATTTGAATCAACCCAATTCTCAATTTTGGAACGAAATAATAAAGAAAACATAAACAAATGGGAAAACGGGAGTCAAAATGCCGTACTAATCTAATATCTTGTTGTTATTTTCTGTTTGTGTGCCGAGAAGAAGGTCGTGCCACGAAAAATAAAGGTTCAGTAAAACAAGCGGCCGCTCCAGTCACACCAGCTCCCACCGTAGCTGAGGCAGCCCCTGCCGTCGCAGCCGCCGCCGCCGCAGCAGCACCCGCATCAGACGACGACGATGACGTTGACATTTTCGGATTCGGTATTTTGCACATATTCACATTTGCACCAAACTCATTTTAGACAATAAGGCTTTTTTCTGGCTTGTAACCCCATTTTTGGCTTTCTTTTCGTTAATTTTGCGGCACAATGCACTTTATTTAAATGACATACACAAACCTTCCCCATTCAAAATTCGGTCTAAATTCGTTTTCTTCATTTGAACCGCTGTCTTGACTTAAAAAAGTCGCCAATTACATCGCAGGTGGAGATGATGATGACGATGATGACGACGACGATGATGACGACGACGAAGATGATGCCGAAGCAGATGATGGTAAAAAAAGAGAGAATATTATTGATGCATTTGAAATTAAAGCATATCGAATGATGCTTAAAATAGCTCACTTTGACCCAGATAATAATAAAATCTTTTTCATTTTCCACACTTTCAGATGACATCGATTTGCTTGACTTAGGTAAATAGACAGCTTCCATATGAAGTAGTTTTGCTGTTTTTTATTGCTTAAATTGTATAAATAGTTGTTGAAAAAAATTAACTGCAATGAAAAGCCCTTCAAAATTAATTCCGCTTAGAAGGAAAAAACACTGCCCAAATTCACACGCAAACAATTTCGTATTTTTAGCCGAAGATGTTGAAGAAGCTGCCGATACTGATGCCGCTTCAGGTGCAGCAGCCGCAACTGCCAACGTACCAAAAGAACCAGTCGCTGCTGCTGCCGCCACCACCGCTGCAACCGAATCAGAAGACGATGGCGAAGACTTTGCTTTGTTAGGTGCGCTTTTTCCCAATCCCCATTTCTTATTCAGAATGCATTTTGTTCCAATTACCTCTTTGGAAATGGCTTATTGTCTTTTTTAACACGTAGAACTACATTTTCGTTAAAGTTGATACATTGTTATTGAGTATAAAGCAATTTTTTTGTCTATGGACTTCAGCGAAGTTAATCAAATATTGCCATAGTCATATTAATGTTGCATTTGAAAGCTGATGATAATGTTGTTAACATGGTGTATAAAACACACAGGTATTGGTGATGATTTGTTCGAAGCATTCTTCGCTGATGATGAGCCCGTAAAGAAGAAACCAGCTGCAGTTGTTGTTGAAGCAACCTCAGCCGCCGCTCCAGTTGAATCACCAAAACCAGCCATCAAGAAACACAGCACAAAGAAAACGGCCACAAAGAAAACATCAAGCAAAAAGACAACCACCGCTGCCCCACCAAAGGAAGCTGAAACAGTCGACAAAGAGAAACCACAATTCCCACACACACCAGCCCTTCTAGAATTGGCCCAACATACCGCCGCTGATAAAGATACAGCTGAAAAAAATAGCGATTCAACCGAAAAATTCGGCGATTCAACAGAAAAGGTAATGATAATTTTTTCAATTATTAAAGAAAATGTGTTAAGTGTTTTGTTTGAATGTTTCCACTTTCAACAGAATGAATCCAACAAAATGGAAGACTCAGAGAACCAATTGGTTGACAATTTGGAAGACAGTGAAGAAAGTGGAGACAACATGATCATTGTTTCAAGCTCAGAGGACAATAGTCAAAAAGACGAGGATGAGGATGAGGATGAAGACGACGAAATCGTTTTGGATGATGAGGATGCCACTTTGGTCGAAGAAGTCAACGATGCTAAAGAGAATGATGATAATGTTGCAGCCGAAAGTGACGTCGTTGAAACCGTTGAAAAACATACACCAAAACCAGTGACAAAGAAAACAAAAAAGAAGGACAAAGGTAAAACTACATAGCTATGATTGGAGTTTATAAACTTCTAAGAACAAAAACACTGAGCGATTTTTTTTCCAATTGTCAACATTTTTTTTTAAAAATTGTGAATTTTACAGAAGATGAAGAAGAAGGCGGTATTTTGGACTTAGTATTATCAACCATCACCGGAGAAGATGATGAAGATGACAAAACAAAAACTGAGGTACATTGCATTGATACAAATTTAACGATGCGCATGCATGTAATGAACATTAAATGACATTTACTCTATCGAAATTATAGACTGCGGACAAAAATGAAGAAGACGAGGACGATGAAGAAGAAGAAGAAACTGAAAATGAGGAGGAAGACAACGAAGATGGTATGTTTTTTTCATGTTAAAATGGCTTGAACTGAAGCAAAATTAATAATTTATTGATTTGACTCATAAGCACATGCTATCAATTTTAATTTGAAATTAAATTCAATAACTCGGTTTGTATTGTAGATGACGAAAAAACGGAAACCGAACCAGAAGAGGATGATGAAAAGGAGGAAAACAGTGTAACGGATGAAGAACAATCCGCAGTTGAACTTCTCAGCGAATTGGGACTTAAACGAAGTGAACAACACTAATGCTCGTTTCGAATAACAACGACAACAACAAAAGACACTCACAAAATACCACAATTATTTAAGCGAAACCGAACAAACAACAACAAAATAGACAAAAGTAACAATAATGGTGCGATAAAAGAAAAACTACAGCAACAACAACGACGATCACAACAGATTTTTTTTTTTGAAAATACCTCAAAATTCGCTGATTTTAGTTAACGTAAACTATTTATTTATTTATTAAAATTATTTAATTTATTTATTTATTTTGAGTCGTGAAGAAGAGATACGAAAATCCCGATTAAAAAAAACAATACATTTGATGCGAAATAATCAAATAAACAAACGGCGAACACAGCAAAAGATTCACATTCCGTGCTTAGACAAAAAAAAAATGATGTACATAAATTAAGCGAATCGTAAGCGGAACGAGAAACAGTCAATATAATCAATCAATGAAAGCAACCGAGAAAACACAAGAAAAATGTTTACAAATTCGAAATTCCAAATGCAATCTCACATTCAACCGACGTTTTGGTTTGCTTTCAATTCATTTGAAATTCAAATATTATCGCTCACTGACATTTTGGTCTATTCACCACGGTCGTGGTGAATACCGAAGTGTCAGTGGCGAAGATTGAGGTTAAACGAAAACATAATGTCAAATACGAATAAAATAGACCATGTAAAACATAAACAGTCAAACAATAAAGAGAAGAACAAAAAAAAACATTGCGAGAAATTAACCGATCTTGATTTTATTAATTTTATACGATCTGGTGTTGATCGTAGGTGCTTTGAGTCGATTCTGTACAAATATTTAGATGAAATTGAAACATCAATTGGAGTAAGATTTTGTGGACTTTGTTTGAACGCAGCAAATGAAACTCAACCATGAAATGTGTGGTTACGGGTCAGAATGCAACAAGTAAGTGCAATGCAAATTGAATTCTTCCAAATCCATTGGCCAAATATTGAATGGTTTTTCTTTTCGTTCATTTTAGTTTTAGCGAAAGCTATTCATTCGTTTGCTCGCATCGGGATCGAGTTGTATGTGGAAGCCGACGCTCGTTCGGGTTTATCGCTTCGAACGGTTAATATGACCAAATCGGCTTTTGCTTCGATCGTCTTTAATTTGGATTTTTTCTCCAGTTTTATGGTGAAATCGAAGAATGTCGAGGAAAATCAGTGCAAATTGTCCATGAAGTCATGCCTTGGTGTTTTTCGCAATATGAAACAAGTATTTTCACGCCACTTTTCCCTTCGTGCTCTTTTGTCAACGAAGTAATGGTTTGTTTGCTTTAATTTTTCTCTCAGGTGGAGTCGTGCACAATAACACTAGATGCAAAATCCTGCAAAATGACTGTACAGTTCAAGTGTCGTTTAGAAACGATTCGAACACATCACATCTCGATTTTGGAACATGAAACACTTCAGGCCGCCTACGTCACCGATCGATCGCTGAACGTTCTCGGTGGCAATCACAAGATTTTCAGCAATATTGTGTCGAGTTTCAAAGCAAACGAGGAGGAACTGTCGATTAAGGCCAATGAGAAGAATATTGTCATTCAAAATTACGAAGACGGTACACAAGTGGACAATCGATTTGTACGCTCCCAAATCACATTGAAGTAAGGCAATGAATATTGGTATTTTCTATTTAAAACCGTCTCAACTCGAATATTACCGTATTGCCTCAATTTCCAATGAAACGTAACATGAACACTCATTCAAATCTCCAGATCCGACGAGTTTGACAGCTTTAAAATCGGCGAAAATACAACAATCACATTTTGTATGCGGGAACTTAGGGCCATTTTGAATTTTGCCGAGTCAATGAACACGAGTATCTCAGCGAACTTTGACACGGCTGGCAGGTAAGTGAACCAAACAAATCGTTACAATTCGTTGCATATTGAACACGCTCTTCATTTGCAGTCCAGTGGTGTTTGTGATAAAAAATTACGATACATTCGAAGCGAATTTGGTGATGTCAACGCTATCGCCCGAGGATGGGGAGTTTGAGCGTCAAAGAAGCCGTTCGCTGGTTCAAATCAATTCACAGCTGACCAATGTTGACATTGAACGAACCGATGCAGATGTTGATGAGGCAGCACAAGATGATGCGAATGAGAGTAGTTCGTCAAGTTCGAGGAAGAGAAATCTATCGACTGCAAATGGCACCGATTTTGAGTTTGGTATAAGCAGGCAACCGATTCAATTGGATGTAATGCGAAAGAAACGAAGAACATCGAACGATCGACGAGACACACGATTGCCTACTCCAAGCGATGCAAACACATCAGATCAAACGAAACCATCGCAGCGTGTTGCACCCGTCATCGACCTTGAAAGTGAAAATATTGATGTGGTTTTCCAAGAAGATTCCGATCAAAATGTTCCATTCGGCTACAATAACAACGCAGAAGAATCAGAAATGAGAGAAGAACCCAATGCGAATGGTGGGAATGGTCGTGATCATCGTCCAAAAGTCAGAGAAGTCTTTGGCCGATGTTTCACTGGAAACACGCAACCAATTTCATACGGTGACATTCTAGCCGAAGCCTCCGATGAAGAGATGTAAATTATTTCTAGACTTTTAAGCTTTATTTATACATTAAGCGCGTTGAGAAATAAATAATTTAGTATTTCGATCACGAAACCGTATACGATTGATTTGATTGTGTTGTTCAATTAGTTACAGTTGAATTGGAAATTTATTGGAATTTGGAAACGGTAATTCGATTGAATCAGAAGACACATTGGCTGGAATACAATTGCCAAATAGTTTACGTGTGAATTTACTTACTCTCGACTGAACCGATCGCCAAGACAGCAAATCAAGCTTAAGAAAGAAGGATGTTAATAAGAGAAATTTGGCCAATATGGCAGCATGTATTTAGCCTAGCTAATACCGAATGAAATAAATAATTTTCTCGGTTGTCATTTGAAATAAATAATAAATCAATAATAAATAAATAAATAAATCCACTGGATTATTGTTAATTTATTTGAATTCAAGATTCATGTATGCGATTCAGTTCGCTCTAACTCAGATTGAGTACAAAAATTGTTCAATTACGGCAAAAAGTACAAAAGAATATCGAATTCATGAAAATGGACAAAAAATATATTCGAAAACGGTGTTTGCGACTCGATGGTCACTGTGGCATCGCCTTACTGCACCTTGAGGAATTTCTTATTTCTTCTTCAATTTGGCCATCAATGCCCGTACGGAACGTTCCATTTTGGCGTTCATCAATCGCAATTTGACCTCGCTCCTCTTGTCTCTAATCGATACGAATAGAAGGCGAAAAAATTGTATGAGAAACACGTTTCTAATAGTCTTCTTTGTAAACTTCTACTTACATCTGTTTGCTCATTTTGTCGCGGCAATCGACCTTCTTGCGTTCGCTTCCACGGCGGAACGACTCTTTGGTCTTAACCCATTGTGCCAACTCTTTTTTGCGTTGTTCCACCATTTTCTCGGCGTTGGCGATCTTATCATCGAGTTGTGTGGTTTCTTCACCCAAATCGACGTGATTGTCCTGCTGAACAAAAATAGCAAATTACCATTTTTTTTGCTGTTAATATGTTTTCATTTAACTTACAAATTTCGACGAAATTTCATTGAGTTCGCGACGATGACGATCGATCATTTGTTTCTCGGCCTGGTCAAAATTCTTCAGGCGATGAAGCATTCCCTTGGTGGATACGATGACACCAACACAACGCCGCAAGCTATTGTATGTCGATGACGATGACAACATCATGCGGAGCTCATTTTCATCATGTTGACGGATTGCTAATGGATTTAATTTTGATTTAGAAGGAAAATTAATTCACTTAAACAAATTGAAATTTTTTTTTCACAAAAACCAACTTTGTTTCAACAAAGGAATCTCTTAATCCAAAACATACTTTGATAGTTTGACCGGCGCAAATCGCGAATATCCTCTCGGATGTCGGCCTGACGCTCCTTTTCTTCAGCTACCAACCGATTTGCATCAGAGAGCTAAGCATATCAAAAAAAGGTAACAAATTATCAATAAACAGATCTGTAGCTACATATTCGTACTGTTATGATATTTTATTCGTAAATGTTATGAATTTCTCGAGCACACCAACTGTAACATGTTATTCAAAAGAGCTTCGTCACATTTTCACATCTAACGGTATCATAAAATGAATGAAGTCTCGCAAAAGTCACACCAAAATGTTTGGTTTTACAATTTTTTGCTAGTTTCTCTTCTTCTACATAAAACTACGATTGGTTTGCAATTCGGCGAAAAAACCTTGAATCGTTTTTTTTCTCAGTTCAAACACATAACTCACAAACGATTCACAGTCAAACTAGAAGAAATAATTGCCGTTTATCGTACACAAATAATTTCTTTCAAGAACTTTTCCGAAGCTTCATCCACTTCTTTTTCATCCGCTTCACTGAAAACTGTATTTTTGGCACGAAAAAAAAAATTGGTTGAAAATGTGTTCATCTTCGCGACAATTTTTTTTTCCTTCACCAAAAGAATGTTATGCGCATTGTTTCTGATAAATGTTCAACTTGTTCGCTTTCCTATACAATATTTTCTCGCCAAAGTGCAAATCAGGTCATGTTTGAAAATTGGCTGCAGTTGATGACGGTTTCATACTTCAATCGGTCGACAAAGTAAATACAAATTACTTACGCGTTTTAGCAGGACTTCTTTTTGTTTTGCTGATTCCATTTCTGGCGTTGGAACTTGTGAGCGACGATTGGATTTTTTTCTTTAGAAATCAATCAAAAGAGTTTACGCGAATTTATTGCAGGTTACAGTTTTATCAATACAGCACGGTATTAGGTTTCAAATTCACTTTTAGTCTTATGGTTCAAAAGTCAACCGAACTCAAAGAATGCTGCTAACCGAATGACCACCGAAAAATGCTACAATCAGAACGAGAGTATTTCTTGCCAAATCGGTGTTTTCACACCAAGCTAAATTTCAGATTCGGTCGTCGAACAAGGCAAGAAAATTAACGGTGCATCAGATACACACACAGCAAAAGGGTTGACTCGACAAACGACTATGGATAGACAATAAATTCATATTCACAAGATTTTGCTCGATGTCGAAGCAAAAGTGTGTGTGAGTGTGTGCTGTTTCTCAACTTTGACTCGAAAATGTCATATGGTTGTCTCGTGTTGAAATGGAATTATGTCGCATTAGGAGCTAATTTTGTCATGTAAATCTGCTGTCATAACGGCACACAGTGTGAGTAGGCTTGAGCAAGAAGTAAAAAACAATCAATGAAGAGACTTCTATATACGATAAAGCAACGTTTCAACGGACAGAAAACATAAAAAATCTTATGATATATTTGAATCACTGCGTGGAAAACTAACTTCTATAAACATTTTTATAAACAAATAATTATTTATACGGTTGATGGTATTGTACATAGTTCACTTGTTGAGCCCGTTGAATGTTCGATTTGATTCCCAGTCGTAACAGGATGCGCATATCAAGGCGCATTTTGACAGCCAACCAAGACTGATAAACAAATAAATGCATGTCAGGTACGAAGCCGACCGTTGAATAATAATTGTGCACGCAGCAAAAGTTGAAGAATTCTTTTACAAAATCAAGTCATTTTATAATTTTATTCATCAAGAACTTCTTTTTTTTCGTGTAATATCTGCGGTGTCTTGTTGCTGCTAGTTCTGAAAATCTGTGCATGGAATTAATTTAACGATCAAACATGAATGGGATTTGCATACGAAATGGGTTGATATGTTTGACGCTTGTTCGCAGCAAACCACCAATTCGTAGATACTTTGTCGATCGTAAATTCAATATAATTACGATACCGCCCAAAAGCAAACTTTAATTTCATGGTGGAATCGATGCCTTTTCCCACATATTGAAATGTTTTTCGGCTTCGGATGAAGAAATGTTCGATTTGTCGTCCATTATTTTTAAAATGTAAAACATTTGGCCGAGTTGGAACACACACACACTGAACGAATTGTATCCCTTTTCTCGATCGAATACACATGTTTCAGTTGAATTCATTCTATTTATGAAAGGATTCGATCAACACCCTTGCAATTATGATGGAATATCACTGTGTAACACGTTTCATTTTTATTTTGAAACATGAAACGAAACGATTCAATTTGCGACGTTTGCTCGAAGCATTTGCATTGTGTTGCACATGTTTGCCGAACGAGCGAATGCAACAATGTGAAAGACAAAAGTGTGACGTTTACCGGAAATTGAATAATAAACAGCATATGAATTTCATTTTCAGCGGTTTTTTTCTTTCTCTTTCTCTCTGTGTCTTTCTCTGGCTAAAAATAAAATCAATGTTTTATGGATGCGACGTATCGACCGCAAAAGAATTGTAAATAAATGTGGCGGCCAAAGAGGAAAACAAAAATGTTCGCCTTACATCTCTGTTCGTATGGTTTTTTCTGCCATTTTTGACTTTGAAAAACAAATATTTTTAATGTTTATGATTATTCACGCCACGAACTCGCACACGCTTACAATACAATCCAGCCTGAAATTCCGTGTCGTTCGTTATTTTTTCTTAATTTCAAAGCGAGATGTGTGTTTGTGTTTCGACGGTTTTTTTTCTTTTGCGCCAACATTTTCACACAAATTCGCTTTGAACCATAAAACGTGTTATTGCCGATGTTATTGTATTCGGTCACAAGCTTTGGCCCATAAAATCGACGGAAATGGATTTGGTTTCTGCCTTTGTGATCCGTTCAGGTTTCGCGGAATAAGGAGAAAGAGAGAAATACACTCTAACAAATCTCAGAACAGCCGAAATGGTGGTCACATTTGCCGCATGCATATTGAATGGAATAGAAAGGCTGTGTAAGGAGTTAACCGAGAAAATGTAATTACATTTTGGTATTTTTTCTTTGTTTTAAGCGTTCAACCAACACATTACTACAAAAATTACGACATCTTTAGCAATAATAAGTAATGACAGATCGCATTGGTCAAGGTTTCATGAAAATTGCGTGCAGAATCTTCTGAAAAAAAGGAAAACACACCGTAAATATTGCCTTTTGCTCAAAATAAACACGAAACCATATTTTCAAAAACGTTAAAATAATGATAAAAATGCTCATTTTGCGTGTGTACCGTTTTTTTTTTGTTCACTGTTAAATGTTGACGACCCTCGTTCCCTCTGCATACAAAAATTGAATGGATTGCGTTACTTGTGATCATTACGCTGCGTACGAGAGCCATCAAGAGGTCGTGTGTTCAGATCCATTTTTATGCTGGTCTCGTCAACAAACAATCTCTCGATAATTACCTCAGCCACTACCGCTACCCCATTTTAAAACCATTTAGTCGTTAAATACAAATCAACAGAACAATCGAATTAACGGATCACAGCGAAAGGACGAGTGCCGAAATAAAACGAAGCACTTCAAGTGGTCATAAACGCTAAATCATTTAAGAATGAAATATACAATTTTGAATTATGAGTTTTTTTGCTGATTTAGTTTGAAATATTGTTTTGAAAAGAGTTTTTACTTCAAAAATAGTTGTAAATGGCTTTGTTTGACTATTTTTGCCGTTGATACTTATCAGTTTTACATCTCTCGATTGCAAAATTCATTTCCTGTTTGTTATTTTTTTCTTATCTTCGCTAAATCGAAAGATAAAATGGAAAGAAACTGCTCGGGAGACGAAAAAACGTTTTTCTAAGAGGGTACAAAAGATTGATGAAGGGTTACTTTAGTTCAAGAGTTCATAAACACACATCAAGAGGTGTTTTCTTGAATAACATTCTTGCATGAGCAAAAATCTCAATTTTGCCATCAGAATTTAAATTTCAGTTTTATACCAGTTTATACCAGTTTTTATGCCATAATTCTTATATTTTCATAAGCTTTCTGTGTACCAAATTTTATCCAAATCGGACAAAAAATATTTTTGAGAAAAAAAATGAAAAAAGTGAAAGGAATCGTCCAAAAGATTTCAGAAACATGCTCATAACTTTTGAACCGTATGACCAATGTCGATGATTTTTATATGTAAATTGATCGGAATGAGCTCACCTTTCCAACGCGCTTCTAATCGATTTGATCCGATCGATAGTTTTCGAATTATGGATGTGAACGTGAAGGTGATACTTCATAGGTGCGCAAAAATAACTACACGCAAAAACTTGCAGACTCGATTTTAACGATAGAGGTATGGTTCCTTGGGCAAATTTTCTTGGAATGACCCATAGAACACGGAAATCATAGGTATTTGGTCGATTTTTTTCACTCCCTACAAATCGACCCGCCCTACTAAACATGTAATAAAAGTGGCTGCAATCATTTGTGTTGACTGCGTTTTTTCTCTCAATAGTTTTTTTCTCTTTTTTCCAATTCCTTTTTAAACATGGGATTAAAGTTATTGGCTGCTAAACTCTGGACACAATTCAATTTTAATGCAATGATTGCACTTCGACAGCAAATTGCACAAACATCGATACTTCTCACGATACGGAATAGGATATTGTTGTGTTTTTTTTCGGATAGCACGAGCCCGCATCAGTCGCGAATCTCATTTAGGCACAGCAATAAAAATACATCGTACACGCTTCAAACCAAATGCCAAATTGAAAACAAGGCAAATATGACACTTAATAAATACATGATACGGGTTTTTGAGCAAAGCCAAACTAAGTAATAAGCATGAGGATTACTCATCGTATTTTGCAGTGCCACTCAATGGATTTTAAAATGTTGTGGTTGTTATTGAATAAAAGAAGTGTGTGTTCGCCACCCGACACAAAATCTTTTGCTCAATTCATCGTTAATAAAGCGATAATTTTTTATATGATTTTTTCTAAATGTGGTTCGAAGGCTCAATTCGTTTGTTGGTGTGAACAATTTTTTCATATGCATTTTATTAGCCATAATAACTCGTTTGGATTAAAATTCATTAAACACCGTGTTATTGTTGGAATGGAAGTGAGCAGGCTTAGAGATACCACTTCAATTGCGAATAATGATCGAATAATAATAGCATATGCTGCTGCCACTATTCATGGTAACATGCGTAACCAACAAACTAGTCTATAAGCCAACACTTTGAATTAGCTAGCACATCCCAATTATTCAAGCACACTGTAGCAGTGTTGCGCCTAAATTGTTGAGGAGGATTCGATTTGAAAAAGGATGGAAAACATATTTAAGGCATCACTGAGACAATATTCGATTTCTATTCTATGTTATTTTAGTAACTCAAAATAGTGACTAGATAAACAGTTTCGCACAAGTCGATCGTTGCATGTTTGACAGCAAAAAGTTTTCCCCAGTCAAAATGATTTATCCGTATTAGTTAGATTCGGGTTTAGACAAGCGCGAGAGTGAATTTCAAGAGGTATTTTGCGATCTGACCCCATTTTAAACCGGTTGCACTGGGTGAGATAAAAAGAAGCCGTTGAGTTTACGGCTTCTGTGTGAGAGAACAGTCGCTCTTACTGAAGGGTATACACAACACAAAGGGGCTGATTCATTCAACCAACTGTCAATATACCCACATTTTGGACACTTTCAATTTCGGATGAACATTAACACCGCATCACGAACACTCGGTTTCACGCTTTCTCACCAACAAACACCGATTTTGTTCAATCGCGTAACGGTTTTTGTGTGACCATCTGATTGTTAGTTTATTTTATCAAAGTTTGTTCGCTGGGAAATGGAAGAGTGTAGCGGTTATTGTGACATTTTTCAATTTATGACTCAAAGAAGAGTTTTGTTTTAATTAAGAAATTTTGAAAATAATAACATTAAATAAAATAATGATATGCTGTGATATTTGCATCCAAACAGAGAGATAATTGTTTGTTGAATTTCTTAAACACACCTTATTCTGAATGAATCGGCCGTATTGCACATTTTGTCATCGAAAAATGACTTCGATTCATCTTGAACGCAGATTAATTTTCATATAAATTCAAACAAAAAAATTGTTTAAGCAAAAAAGTGATAGGATCCCATTGTTTTAACTCTTATGAATTTATGATCAAAATCACCGCTTGAAACCCTTTAATTTTATCTGTCTTTCAATTCGAGTCAAAAAAACATCGTATACTTTTCATTTGAAACCGCACTTCTTCATCAAAAGAATTGTTCTTCATGTCTCACGGTTAATACCTGTCATATTCTGGGTTTGGTACTTAATGTGTCTGGCTTTTTTCGTGTGTATGTGTGTGGCGTGCTGTCGAACGATTTCGGATGCAGTTAAGAAGTAACGAAAAAAAGGTGCAGCCGAATAAATCAATGACTTTGGATCAGCGATAGCTATCAGCAGACAGAACACACACACAAACGCGTTAATTCGATCGTTTCACGCGTCTAGCAGCGATCCGCTTAAGAATTTTTGACAGAATAATAAATTTACACTACTTGCAGATATGCACACGAATCACATCAGATAGCTAGTCAATCACAAGACACCTCAGGACTCTTTAAGCAGACAACTTACGCAAGCCGTACATTTGCCGCAACCAACGAAACTGAATAGAATGTAATAAAGAAAAAGTCACGAAAATCCAAAAACAAATATTTTATACGAGTTGGATGTTTAATTCAATTTGATCGAAATTACACATGCAAATTTCATGTTGATGAAAACAAATCATTTTTTGTTCACATAAAACTGATCGAACTCCGAACTGAATGAGTCGTCCGAGCTGTCTGAACGCAAATTGTTGATAAAAATGGAATGTGACGCGTAGAATTGGCGTTTCGTTCGCTCATCGAAGCTATTTGATCGTGAACTGCTTGGTGCAGACGGGATGCTGTTTGATCGCATTGATGATGATGTATCCGACCAATAGGTTTTTGAGCTTTTCATCGAGCTCATCGAACTGACCGATGCTGAACTTGGCCAACGAGACATACCATGCATGTCGTTGGAGCTCCATGACGATTCAGATGATGATGACGATGATCCATTCCATGCCGTTGATGGTGATGTTTGATGCGATGAAAAACTGCTGGTCGATTTTTCTGGTGAGCTGTAAGCGCTACTTCTGTTGTATGAATAGCTCATCCAATCATTTTGAGTTTGGGATGCGTTTTGTGAGTTTACGTTAGATGACTTTTCGAAGTTTTCTTAAAAAGAAACAGAAAAACAAACGATTTTATTAATTAAAAAAAAAGAAAATCTTTGAAAATGAAGACACTTGGAAATTGAAACACTTGAATAATTTTCAATAGACACTAACTTTGTTGATCCATTTCTTAGCACGAGCTCAAGTGATCAGCTCGCGAGCGAAGCCCAAAATACGAAAGAACTTTCATCATGCAAATCACCATCTATATATATTGATCGATTTTTGTGGTGTAATCAAAAAATAAGTCATTTTGAATTGGTTTGAATAAATATTTTATCAGTGATTCCGAAGAAACGTTGATTGGTGTTCAACTGTACAGTCTCAACAATTGTGGCGTATAAACAATTATATTGACATTCGTTTGTTGTCATGCGCTCACCACGTGCCGCATTCTAGTGATTCACTCAATTTGCGCCGTGCCGCCAGTGAAATAAACCAAAAAATGCATGCATGAAAATTCAACTATTTCATTATGCCATCACAGCCATTTCCAGCGTGCCCATTGTTTTGACGATGTTTCGCTGTCAGCGTCGCGCTGTTTATGGCATTTTGTACACAGACGGAGTAAATTTGGTAATTGCTTTAGAAGAAACGGCGACAAAACCGTGAAAAATCAGCAATGAAATGTGTTTAAAATCGTTGGCATCGACGACGTTTTTTTTATATGGGCCAATGCTTGTATGTCGGCTTGGGTGTGATGTTTACAAACTGTAGAATCGACATTTTCGCGCACCACATAATTATTTTCTGCATGAAAATATGACGAAATATTGCGTTTAATTGACGGGGTAAAATGAATTGTCATCGCAAATTGTGTGGGCAAATTTAATTTTTCCGAAAGTAGTTAATCTTGATGGAGCCAACATTTTGGACGGTTTTATTTTCCGTGACAAATTGTTGCGCTATGTTACATAGCCTATGTATGAAGATTGAAACTTAAATTATGTACAGATCCGATGTTTGAAAAGAGTTTCGGCGACTAAGTTAATTATAAATATTTATGACTGAATAAGAAAGCGGATTATTTAGAGTATTTGGTTGATTTCAGCGCTGACTCCAAAAGATAGACATAATGATCCGAAGCAAACAGAGTCGCGTCAATTCATTTTTCGTCAAGCAAATTCTGAACTTCAATGACTTTCTCAGACGATAAGTTCAAAAAACTGCAACAGAACCATGAAGTCAACGAGTGTATTTGCTTTCTATTCAGTTCCACAAGCTGTAGATGATTACTTTTTAAGTAATAAGAACCTTTTATTTACTGATTTATCTATGCTCATTTCAAGAGATATTTACAATTTTCCTATTATTGATCTACTTTTAATCGAAAAAGAGATCACTTACCTTTTTTATCGCTTAAAGTGCGATATTTCAGCCAAGATTCTCTTAAGTTTACCTTTGTTCTCAAAATTCGATTTGTTACCTAAAAGATCTTTATTCACCCAACACCTCTGTTTTTTTCTCCAACATCTCCGCTGAAAATGTACACAAAAACAAATAGAAACGAAAATGAACTCAAACAAAATCTGTTACATTTGCCATGTGATTACAATTTGTTGTGTCGTGCACGTTTTATTTTCGATAAAAAGTCACAATCGAAGTGTTTCAATTCACACATCATTTGCACTTGATCGAATCAAATTGGTCTGCTTATTTTTTGCTTGGTGATTCGGATGATGACCCGTCCTTTTTACGGAAAAGGCTGCCAATTCGCTGAAAAGCGCCCGATCTCGATTTCGATGGTGAAAACATGCCGGCTCCATCCTCGTTTTTAGTTGGAGTGCGTGGTTCGTCAACCGGCTTTGGCTCTGGTTCTGGTTTTTTCACGGTACTACCACATTTGTCACACTTTTCGGCTGTAGAAATAGAAGAGCAAAACATATTTTTCAAAATGAAAACTATTGGAAACACTGAACTTAAACTCTTTTTTACAAAATCACTCACAATCAGCCATTGTTCGACTTGTTTGGATGGAATGTATCAGTTTAATTTCGTTGTAAAAATTGCAAACGATCGCGACGGAAGGACTCTACGTTCTGAGCTCTGTTTCTCTCAAGCTGCAATAAAGTTGTGCCATTTGCAATGATTCAATCGCCACTTCGTCGAGAATTGTTTACATACGGTTTTCGACCGTAAGAACCATATCTGGAACACAAACACTAAAGCGAAACCATAGAAATGTCAACGTAGCAAATATTTTTTCGAATAATAATCTGACGACTGTTTGAATTCGATTCGTTAATTTGTATATCCATTGAGGAGAAAAAAGGGAGGATTGAATGAAACAAAGAAGATGAATAGTGCAAAATTATTTTTATTCTGGATTAAATGGCGTCACCAAGCATTTGGTTGACAAACATCGTAATTAATCGATCTAAACTGTAAATCATCATTTCCCGCAATTTGGTTGAATCGAATATGATGTGTGAACCCTTCCGAAAACCGACCATTTTATTACACTTTAGACAGTAGATGCTGTTGCCATCGATCGGAATCGCACTTGAAGTCACCGTTTTCGTTGGTTCATCGTAAATGTTTATGCAATCGTCGTCCTCGGCACAAATAATGTCGAGAGTCAACAGTTTTACGCTCGTTGCTCTCAAAATGTGGGCATCACAATGTTCACCGTTCACATTGTGATTGCAAATGTAAACAGCAAGTTCATCTCTAGGCCCGTCGTTGATGAGATGGTCGGAGAAATCAATCACTGGAGCTCTCATTCTTTCTTTTTCACACTCAACAAAGACTTGAAATATGATTTTTCTTTGTAAATTAGAATGAAAATTTGATTTTTCTTCCTCTGATGACTGAAAAAATAGCAGCAATGCAAACTGGACTCGATGCGATGTTGACTTTGAAAATTCGTTGATGAAGAAAAATGTTGAATCTATACAAAGACCTAAAATGATTCAAATCGAAAAAACCTATGTGTGGATTCAGAGTGTCAGAAAAGAGTAATCGTTGATTGACGGGTTTTGTTATGACAAAGTTCTCTATGGGTCCAACTATGGACTGAAACTGATGCTACTCCAGAAATTACTCTCAATTTATACACATTTCTAACCCTTTTGACCACGTTGCTCTATGCCTGAATGCCATTTTGCATAAATCCTTCGTTTGTATGTTTATAGTGAGCGCCTGAAGTGCAACAGGTATAAATTCTCATGAAATATTCTAATTGTCTCAATAATGCGTAAAGAGAGACTACCCTAATTACCACTTTCACAGAAGTGCACAATTTGAGAAAATAAGGAGATGAGAATTCAGGCATTACAAATCGCACCAACAGATGTGTTGCATCAATCCCCAGCCGCTCATTTCAGCAAATGATAATATTTCTGGAATGTATGCGCATATGTCTCTATAATTGTCTACTGGAATCTCATGGATTATGGGAAAATGCGAAAAATTCCAAATCTACACAGTTATTAATGTGCAAAATAAAACCGACTGGAATGCGATAAATTCGTTTTTCGAATTGAAATACAGCGTCGTTAAAAAGTGGTTGTGTATGCGTCTTATGAGTTTCAATAGAGTCACTTATCCTTACCAGAAACGCAACGTTATCCAAAAATACACAGCGTAAAAAACGGTATGCGTCAGCAGAAAAAAGAACGGTAGAAAAAAGTATTTTGTATTTACGAGTCTGAATGAGTTTTCAATTCGGCAACAATATATTGGCCATAATTCATAAATTCCAATTAAGGCTTAAATTGGCGACGTTGTTTTCAGACCGAACTGTTTTTTTTTCTCGTTCGTGTTCAATCGTATATGTAGGCTATTATTTGCTAATTCATAAGCTTTTGGGTTAATTTCTCATAATGTTTCAACTCGGCAACGATGTTCAAGTACATGTGGCGTCCCTTTCGTCGATTGGGATCAAAGTTAAGCCAAGACGAAAGAAAAAAACTGTGTTGGGAGAGAAAAAAAAAACCATCATCCAAATTCTGTGTATCATAAATTTCAAACCAAAAATTACACAAGCACATATGGCATTAATTTATATATTCTTTTTGCTGCTGCCCCTTTTTTGCATCGATATGGATTTCAAAGCCGTTTTCACTGTTTACATAGTGTTGCGACTCGATTTCTTCCTCTCTTTTTTTCCTCAAAAGGCCATTTTGCCACATGAGATCAGAAAACGAGTGTGTAAGCAGTGTTGAACGCGTTATGAAAAATGAAACATGAAAAAAGTTTGGAAAGATGCCCGAAAGAAAGAAAAGAATGAACACGAGAAAAAAAAAGAACAACAATCTGTGTAACTGTACACATGAAGGAAATGTGTTGCACATGTTGATAATTCCCACGCATAAGTATTATACAATCCCGAAAAACATCCATAGTCCGTCGAAACGAACGCAAAGAGACTATGTCGTTAATGGCATGGTATTCCTATGAAAGGCAGCACTTGAAATTTTCAATGCTAGCGCAAAAAAGAATGAAGAAAGGCAATATTTTTCGGAGGCCATATCCATTGCAAAGCATATCCGATCTTTTTCTCTCTCTTTTCTCTTGAACGCTTTGTGCTTTTTTTTCGAGGCGACATTTTCACATCGGGTCCTGATTTTTTACGCAAGCAAAAATTACGCACAGTCAGTGTTCTAGCGCACACATGTGTGCCAGTTTGACTCTCACCGGAATCGCAGCCCATATAAAACCATTGCAATGCATCGAACAATAACGCCGAAAACAGCAAACTGTTTGACATAAAGAAAACCAGCATCTGCATTTTATGTGTGACTCTTTTTATTTCTCTTCTCCAGAACACAGTTCGTCACTGTCTTCAGCATGTCTCCGTTTGGGATTGTGTTCTTTTCTTTCATATTTATGACGCGCATTGTTTGATTGTGTTCGCCTTTTGCCGTTTGTGTTTGTATCATGAGAAATTAACGAGAGCCACAATAAATGGGCGGATTTTTTCGATTTGGTTTCGTTTCCCTTTCGATTGATTCTCTGTTATTGCTACGCGCACATTATCCACTCTGTCTCTCTCTTTCTCTCTCTCTGTTTGTTTTCACACTTTTCGACTTTTTTTCAAACGGTATTTATTGTCGCACCAGCATTTCTGCTTGGCGACGTGCATGCACCGAGCATGTTTCGGCCAACAAAACGGTTCATTATACTCAGCATTGTGTCTTTGAGTCTCAATCGACTTTCTGTGTTGATATTGATTTTGTTTATTTTTCA